GCAAACTTAATTGCAAATGAGCAGGCTGCAATCGACTGTGTGTAAAGTAGGCAGCTAGTTCAAGTGCACGCTTTGTACTATCCGGATCATCTGCAGGAAACTTCTTACGCGTTTGTTCCATGGACAATCCAACAATATACTCGCGACATATATCAATCAATTGATTAACCTACATATGAAAGATATAGGGTCACATCGACACGTATCATTCAGACTATTCAGATCTAAATAAATGCTAAACTCACCTCATCAATCTCGGATCTTTTCGTGACAGCAACTAACAGAATGGAATGAAGAATAGATTTAAACTGTATTGTGGCATCCTGGAACTTGCCTGCCGTCGTGGTCTTATAAGCGTCCTGCAACTGAGTGGAAACAATATTTTGGAAATTGTATGCCAAAGCTGGCAACAAGCGACGCTTTTCTGTCTCCTCTGGGTTACGACGGACATTAAATGCAAGAGAAGGAAGTGCCACATTGACTTGAAGGTAGGTTTTTGTAGACTGGAATGTTCGCAAAAAGTGTTGCTTCAATGGAGCAAAGTTCACCGCTCCTACTTGTCGACTTAGCGTCTGAACATATGATAAGTACGTAAGCGGATATTCAACATCTGATACCCCCCAACAGAAAAGAAAAGGGTAGAAAGGAAAACAATTCCGCTCATAGCATAAATCCCACTGCTGCTCACCTGCATAGCAGTTTCAAAAGACCCAGCAGCAACATGATCTGCCGCTAAAGGCGAATTATGCATCCACAATTCACTTTCGGCAGTTCCTGCTGTCGGTGGAACAAACTCACCCTGAGCACCATTGGTATTCTCTTGTGTCAGCACTGTATCCAATTGAGCAGTCAAATCGGTATCAATCTCCCATCCTGACCCTTCTTCAACGTCCTCTCCCTCTATTCTTGCCTCTGCAGCGACCTTATATGGCTCGACTCCAAATCCGAGATCTTCTTCACCACCCCAATCACCACTGATTTCGCCAACCTCTACACCATCAGCGAAATTAATGGGGGCAATTAAGGGGTTAGGATCGGATACAGTGAAAGCTGCGTCGAAGAAGGATCGAGAGACGGTGAGCAATGGCCAGTTAACGTCATTCTGACGAATAATAGGAATCGAAGGTTTAAGTAGTTGGCCAGCTGGTGGAAGGTCGGTTATGTCTTCGGAAGTGAGGCCTGCAGCGGCTAGAATTGCTTCGGCGTCTTCGGTTAAGCCGTGTGATTGAGCGGTTAAATAAGCCAAGGGAACTACACAAGAAAGGTTAAATTATATTAGCAGATGAAACGAGTTGGAAAACGCGCGTATGGTCAGCGAAGCTTTTTTCATACGTTGTCCAAATTCTTTCAACAGTCTTATTCGTTCCTCAACATCGCCCAGGAATAAAGAGTTGTGAAATCTTGACATGTTGTCATTACGCAGCTCTGCGATTTTCATCATCTTTCGCAGTTTTTCCATATTTCCAGTGGCCAAATACAAGAACGACAGTCGATCAAAGTTTTTCACTCTTTGATAAGCCATTTCAACTATCTGCATAACGTAATCACTGATGAGTGGGTATATTGCTTTGGAATAATACTGCAAATCGATTTACCTGATAGTTGCCCTGACGAAGCGCCTCAGCACTAAGTTTGTTCCAACAGTCTTCCCTATCCATGGATTTGGCAGTTTCCAATGCAACTTCTAGGTTTCCACATTCAAGAGCAAGATCGAAGCGAGTTTTGTCATCTCTTACAAAGTGTAACGCAATCTACACGATATAGGTATATAATCAATATATCAAATATAACAAATGAATGGACAGGTTGCACGTGATTGATTACCTCAGGATATCCCTTCTTTTGTAAATATGCGATAATGGCTTGCCCGACTAGATTGGAGTTCCTTATTATTTGCAACACCTCATCGTAATTACGTTTAATAAGTGCAATTTTGAAGCGATATTCTGTTGGATCAATACTAATGACACGCGTCTTCCCATCTCTATCAAGGCAATATACACTTTTTCCTTTGACTTTGGTGAGATAAACTGGTTGATCTAATGTACGGATTATGCCACTGTCACTGTAAAATGATGAAAAGGAAGAAAAGTATTTAATGTAAATAGAATTAAGAAAATGAAAATAGTTGAGCAAATGACTTACCCCTGAGGAAGAGCATATTTAATATGATTAAGTGTAGAGTAAATAAAAATGCCCACATCGTCCCAAGCACCACTCTTAATTCTTATTGTCTCGTGCAACATGCAATTCTGTTCTAAATTCTTATTTGCAATAGTAATGGCTACATAGAACAAAAGGCAAGTTAGCATCTTTCCTCTATTTAACGTTCATCGCGATGATAATACACTCACTGTGTTTGCTCAAAAGCGCAACTTGACTATGATCGGAAGACCAGAAAACATATTTTACAAATGGCATTGTAATTTCATTGAGTGTTTGTCTTTGTTGAATGTCATATAGTATTACCGATTGCGGGGTGCTGAGCAATAAAAGGTTCCCGCTGCCTGCACTGAAAATTTCATTTACTGTCGCAGGAGGTTTAATTGTCTTTGTAGTTTGATTGGACAAATCACGTATTTCAATTTGCTATCATTGACAAGAGAGAAAATATAAGTACTTATTGCAAGTTATCAAAATGACGATACATAAATAGGCAGACAATTTACTTGACGTGTTTTGTCAAGTACAGCGAATCGATTGCGTGCAATGAATATAGCGGATGCACCAGAACCACGCTTGCTGTCGCTTAACGCTTCTCGTGGCTCGCCACTAAAGTCTTTGGGAAGATGTAATAGATCGTAGCCTCCACCTTCTATTGGCTGAGTTTGACAATATGCAAGAATTCCAATAAATAAATAAATAAATAATGTGAAATAAATAGTTGGATTAGGTTGTCACTTACGGTGGTAACAATGACAGCTTTTTCAGCAGGGTTATAAGATAAGGAACGCGGTTGAATATATGGACCACCAATCTTACGAAGGGACAATACTGCCGCGTCTGAATCGGAATTAAAATCATAAACCCGTAGAACTTTGTCTCGAATATAGAACAAACTATTCTGATGCACAGCCGATGCGGGACGCTCTCGCTCCAATTTAAATACGATTAATCCATTATCGTGACCTATACCAAGTACGAAACGCTTCTGTTAATATACATATTTGTTTAGTTTATAGGTAGAAATTTTATTATTCTCACCAGCCGCAAATAGATTTACTTCAGGATGAGCCGTCAATACCCAGAACCTATCATGTTCCCGCCTGAATGTCTGTATCAACGTTCTCTTTGACATGTCCCACACACGAATAGTCTTATCTTCACCATCCGAAATAATTAATTCTTGTCTGGGATGAAACAATGCTGCCGATACATTATTAAAGTGTCCCCGACACGTATCAACTTCCCAAGCCTTCGTATCTAAAATAAACTTTCAATTATTAATACAGTCAATGAATTTGTATAAAACAAACATAATCTCTTAATCAGCACCATTCATTCTCCACAGTTTGATTTGTCGATCATCGCCAGCAGATACAATAAGAGGCAAAGTAGGATGGAATATTGCCCAGTTCACTCCTCTCTCGTGACCTTCAAGTACGTATTTTACTATTGCGTCTGTACTGCCAAAGATATCTGCCTGAGCAGCGGCTGAACGGTGGAGGCTATCCTCGAATGTGATTGAACTGGGAGCTGCATTTTTCTTCCGTAGGCCTACGAAAACAATGAAATAATTAGTTTGAAGATTAATAACTATTTTAACATGAGAAAAACAGTACAGAATTCTACTAACAATTGTTGCGCTATTACTGTTACTATAGTTCTCAAGTTCCTATTATTCCCAACAGCCATTCTATATGTGCTCCCATCTACCACATTGGACTCTATGTATATCCTAATATACCAGATGCAGAAAAATACCTGAAATGTCCCATACTCGTACAGTCTGATCTAAGGAAGCTGAAACAACCAAATCTTCTTTTGGGTGAAATTGAGCACACATGACGTAATGATTATGTCCGGTCAATATGGCTATACAATTCCTCGACTGCCAATTCCATATTCTAATCGTTTGATCATCCGAAGCGCTCAAAATCCATGGATACTCGTGATGGAAAAACACCGTTCTCACGTAGTCGAGATGTCCGTTCAAAGTAAATAAGCACTTCCGTGTCTTATAATTCCACACCTTTATCTTGTAATCATCACCGCCGGAAACAAATAACGGTTGAGTAGGATGAAAGGCAATGCCACGTACGGGGCCTAGGTGTGGTGAGATTGGTGTTTTTATCTGTCAATTATGTCAAATTGGTGATTCGTGTAGGGGTTTACGTAATAATATGTGTCATAATGACCACTAAATTTGCTAAATTACACTCAGAGGACTACATCGCAATCTTTTTGGATGTTAACAATTACGTTCAAACCTACTTATATCGCAGACAATACATAAAATCGTTTGCATCGATCAAGTAGGCTACTCACCATCATGTTCATCAAAACGTTCCAGTACAGTTCCCATACGATAATCCCATAACTGTATGCACCCATTGTGTAGTGACGCTAATATCCATGGTCTTTTTGGATGGAACGCTATTCCCTTCACTCGGTTGCTTTTCGACTCAAACTTGTAAGGATTTGTTAAATCAGCAATTTGGAATCAAGGCAGTGCACTGGTCAAATAGTAACAAAGACTCAACATAACAGAGACAGCCTCCCAATTGCTTACCTTTGTTAACATCTGCATCTTAAAAGAGTATTCCTTTATCCTCCCTCTAAAAATATATTTCAATATGTCAAAGCCTTGTAAAATGTTCACCACAGATTCGATCACCCAATGAAAATGAGGTGTTTTTTCAAAAAGTCAGGCAAATGGCGTAGTAAATTGGCACATTTAGATTGGATAGAGAATTCATATGCGTAAGTCATTCTAAAACGCAATTCTCTTTACATAACATAGATCCATACACATAATTTCACAATAATAAACACGCAAAATGGCATTAAACTGGGCAATGATTTCGCAAGACGGCCGGAGTCTTGTTCCGTTACCTGGGGAGAAGGTTTTTTTCAGGTAGGGAATAGGAATAAGCAGAACCATGTGTCAAATGCTACGATCTTTTACATTACGACTCATTGTTGATTTTTTAACAGTCAGGAGAAAACTTCTGTGGCATTAGATATGGGCGGGTGAGTTCTTGCAGGCTAACATTTGTCCCTGAATTTCGATTGACCAGACTTGTCAATAGATCATACTTTGTTTCTGATAACTGAATCTTCTTCCAGTGGGTACCCTGGAAATCCGGGAGGAATATACAAAGGAGAAGGAATCATATATGTAACTAACCAACGGGTAATTAATTTGTCTTACAATCGTAGCCAACATTCTCCGTTTATTTTGTATTCATAAAGCGTGCTTATTTTAAAGGCTGTGTTCGTTAGCCGCCCGGCGGTGGCTCACTTCAAGTCACTAAGCATTCCATTGATGAATCTTCGCGAAGGGAAACTACAGCAACCATGGTTTGGTGCAAATTACTATCAGGCATTAGTTCATCCAGTACGTCTGACATTATTAAGAATAATAATTTATTGATGCAAAGTTTGAAGAATGGTTAATAGGAGAAAAATTGGCGGACAATGATCGGAGAGGAGATTAAGCTACATTCGCTCGCTGAGATGATATTAGTATTATACCATTCTTAAGAGCGAGAGTTTATTCGGAGTGGTTCGAGCAACATAATCTGATACAAAAACCCATTAGACTCGATAAGAACTATTATTCATATGACGTTTTTTTTTAGGTTGAGGGTGGTGGAATGCCATGTCCGGGTGGGCTGAAAATTACTTTCAAAGAAGGCGGTAAGTTGACATTGAAGGCTGTAAAACGGCTCATAATATCATTGACTAGTCGTTGATTATATCCATTAATTTCTCGCTATTTGCTTACTGACCAGGCGGTTTCGAGTTTAGCACAATCTTTAACGAAGTGAAGAACCGACTCTATGGTAAATATAAAATAAGAGATTTAGTATTATAACCACAAAATTACCAAACGATTCAACTAGTGTCAATATCACCGATCACCGATCACCGCTCACTCATTCGTGCTCTTGTAGAGTCCGAAGGTCATGCTCCACCAGACACAATAGAGCCTCTTCCGCTTTACACACCACGCGCTGAATCCCAATCCGCAGATCCCACTTCAACGACTGCTCCGTCCGGCTCCTCTCTCGCTGGAGCGGCCTCACCAGCAATTATCCCATATACCATTCCAACTCCCGAAGTTCATCCCGCTCCTCCAAATGACACGCCTTCAGAAACAAACAGAGAGATTACAAATCCATTTTTGAATCCTATATATTTCGGCGGAGATTCGAATGTAGACGCTGAGATTGGACGGGAGAGTGAGAGTGAGAGTCGAAAAGTTGGAAAGAGTGACTCCGGAAAGATGGCAGAACCAGATGATTTGCCGCCGAGTTATGATGACATTGATAAATGAGTCTGGACAAGTTTGTTGGTTGTATGGGAGGGGGCTTCTTTTTTTCAAAAAAAGTATGGTTAAAAGTGTAAAATAGGAATAATAATCCATGATTTGATGAATTGATCATATTCTGCGTCATGTGAATCATATTAATCCTGAAACTTACTGTCAGGGCGTGTCTTTATTGATTTTCACCAATTAAATACATTATTAACTTATCATCTGTTATATAAGCTTTATTAATAAACATTCAAATTAAAGATAATCTATCGAATATTTGACATTCTTCGTGGAGATCAATCTTCTTTATCATCCCTTCAATCACCTACTCCTCATCTACGTTTCAATCTACCTTCTTCGTATCGGTCACTCTTTCCCTCTCTAATTGCCTCAATCTTTCCAAATGCCATTTAACTAATCCTAAATATATCACACCAAACCATCCCGCACAAAACACGACATTCCCTACAACGTATACATCCGGATATCGCTGTGGCGGTGGAAGAAATAGTTCTAACATGTGAAAAAGAATAATAGGCATGTAAGTGGACAGAGGGAGTACCGCGGCAATGGCTGACAATTTGGATGAGAAAAGGGTTGTGAATGCAGTGGACTGAAGGAATAGAGTTGACGACAGCGACGAAGAGAAGAACCAATTGTATAGAATAAATAAAACAAAGTATGGAATAGCCAATTCATCTTTTTTGAGCAATGGGTATAAACTAAAAACAAAAGAAATATGTTATCAGCAGGGAGCTTTCCATCTTCATACTTTCTTCCCACTATCTTAAATCACCTGAACAATCCAACACTGTTTATCCACATGACCATCTTAGATTTTTCCCATTCTCCGTCTCCAATTAATAATGTAATCGGCATCAGTGGGAGAAGAATCGATTTTTCGTGCACTTGAAACGAAAATAGGAAAAACGCCATTGATACAGCTGACAAAGTGTAGAGAGAGAGAGACGGTTGGTGGGAGTAATAAGAGAGACAGAATGTGATATATGAAGGGAATGAGGAGAAGAGAAGGGTGGCCAGAAGACTAAAAGAGTAAGAGGGAAGAGAGGTCGAAGAGTGAGCACATTGATACGAATAACATTTCGTCAAAATGAGCGTTTATTGAACATCAGCCAGTTAACTTCTAATATCGCATGCTTTACCTGATTTTCGCCAAGACATGAATTTGAAAAATTTCTCGCAGTTTAACAACAATGTTGAGTGCGCACCAGAAGTTTGCCACCTTGTCTTCCCATAGCCCTCGATACAACGGAAATATTCTTATCATCGCTTGCTGTAGATCACTTATTGAGCTTAGAAATGGGAAGAACAGTATCCCTAGAGTTACTATTACAGTAATTCCCAGTTTTAAAAATAGATTCAATCTGAGAAGCGTGAGTGTCATATTATTAGCGATAGTCACTGATAACATAAGAATGGTATAACACGGCATCCATCCTTACTCTGCTTACCCCACTTTTTTGTCTCTGGCGCATATTCCCAATAAATAGAAAAACACAGGAAGGGCATAATATAAAGCCATTTGTTTGAAACACAAAGCGAGACAGAAAAATATGCTTCCAATTACATAGTATCCATAAGAATAGCAATTGATGGCCCATATGGTGAGTCCCAGCATTATTGAATTGTATCTATAATAAATGTAAGCTTGATATGTGAAATAGCCATTAAACATTTTGATGACAACAGCGTGTCAAATTCAAGGATACTGAAAGTGTCCATGGTCGATCAGAATTAGTGACGGCTGCATTACTATCAAGAAGAAATAGAGGAGCTGGATCGGACGAATAAAAGTCAATATACATAAATTATTAAATCAGAATTATGCAAGTGTTTTATACCATGTCCACGTATTGTACGTAAAATATGCCAAGTTACCACTATTAACATTCTTACCTGTTCTTTCTGTGTTGATTTCCTATAATACCATTTAACAAATACATATACTGCTGGTACATAAATAATATATTCTGATATGAGAACAGTCATTCTCATAAATACTTTGTTATCTGGACTCTCGTGTCCCCGAGACTCATCCAATGTAAACCACTTCGGTTCAATTGCTGAGCCGCTGAAATAAAGCAAGTTTTAATCCATATGTATTATGAGTTGAATACAAAAGATCAACTACAAGATATGGTGTTTCTATCTACATACATTTTCCCACATATCCAGCTGACATATGCAGTTAGTGGTGGGTAGTCTAATCCCCACCAATCAAGATCATAATAATACCACTGGTCAATAGGCACATGTAAGGTCAATTCCATCCAATGTCTCTGAGCTTCATAGTCACCATATTTGGGAGGTGTATTATATCCTGTCGATGTCAAAACGGAAATACAAACAGACGTATCAGCGATATCTAATAGACGTTCATCCCACTATCGTCATATCACTTTTCATGGGAAAATCACTAACCAGAATATCCCCACAGGGCAACACAACACCTAATAAACAAAGAGAACAGTACAATAATATACAACATCCATTTCAATATCCCCACATCCTCTGACCACGCGAGTATCTGCCATGCTGGCGAATCATGGTAGTAGAACGACAATGAGGAGGATGGTGTGGTTGTCTTTGTTGATCGTATCTTTGGCATTGATCATAGAACAGAAATATTATTAATATTTCAAAACATGCATAAAAATTTATATCATGTGATTTACGATGAAAAGCTCGTTGTGTGCGACGAATTTTGTGTTGAGACAACAAGACCGTAATCTGTCAGGAAACTTATCATTATTCATCCTTGCGGCATCATAACTAGATCAAAATTAATTATTCATGATGCTTAAATAATATTTGGAGGAATGCTCGAACACGAAAGCTTCAAATAAGTATATAGTCGAGCAGATTTGGCCCAAAAACAGTTTTAATACATTCAGTTGTAAATAACTTTTATATTACGATACTATCATGCATTCTTGGGTGTTGGGCTATTTTTCGATAATTTATGTCCTGCATGTTTTCTTAAACAATTGTAAGCTTTTAGTTTGCATTTCAAGACTTTATTGACTAACGCGATCGTCCTTGAAAATAATAAAATCACCAGAGTGGTTGTATGGGAAGAGAATACTCGAATCCAATGTTATAACCTATTTCATCTTTTCAGCATTTTGAATTTTTCCTCAATATGATATCAATATGGACGTTAGGTAATGTTGTTCACGTGAATGCGTCTTTCTTATACAATGATGCCTACAAGATTTGCTTTTTTTTATGTACCTTTGTCATATGTATTGAATTGGAATTGCATCTTAGAACATATATATTAGCTTTAGAAACATATGGCAGACGTCTTGTTAAGATGGAAAAGGAATTATGTGAAAGTTTGCATGAGAATCTTACAAAATTGTATGATGTTCATCAGCATTACACCAAAATATTAGAAAAAGGTTTACAAAGCACAATGTTTTTATCTGCTGTTTCAGTGGAAAGTGTTAAAGTTCAAAATTACAACACTGATTTCTTTCTTATGCATCTTTATGGCACCCTTCATGCAATGGATGTTGATAAGACTGCTTGGCTTGAAATTATAAACCAGCTAAAGTTTCTGTTTGCTGCACTCATTGAGGCTTTACCTGGTATGACTGGTATCATGACAGCTGTAGAAACCCCAATTGATAACAGAGCCACCATAGAAATTTATAACAAAATTCAAAAGACCCTGCAATCTAAGTTCTCTGCAGGGCATTGGTACAAAGAATGGAGGTATTTATATACTATTTATCAAGCATTTTAATTTGTTGAATGGTCAGCTGCTCCAATTCACAAGAATCTAGTTGTTAAAGGTGAATTGATGCTCATTAAGGATTTGTGGAGATTTGGTGACCAAGAATGGAATAAAGCAGTTTCAGCAAAGTCAGAAGGAGATGGATATAAATCTAGACTTAAAAACATGTTGGATTACATTCCAGAATCAAATTCATATTCTTTATTGTTTGGTATACTGGAAATTGCTCAAA